CACGCGAAATCGTCAACAATCTAATCCAGCTAACTTACTTAGCGAGGTACGAAGAACAGGCCCCTGATCTTCTAATGTATCAGACAATTTCTTTTTCTTTCCAACACAAAACATAAACAAACACTTATTATGTGAAGTCCTTTATTTACTCATTCATGTGCTGCACTACTCTGCTCATATCAGCTGGTGTGTTTTTGGCATTTCAAACACAGGTGTTGCAACTGGCAAATTGCAGTGCACCATCTGGTGGACAAATATGCAAAATCAACACTTTTGTTTACTTTATAAATTTTTATTTATTGGTTGTTATAAATGTTGATAGAGAGGGATCAATAAATAGCCAATATTAATAATATCAATGGCCCAATATTATTAATATCAATAATTAAAAATAGTGGCCCATTGAAGTCAATGAACAAGTGACACAGAACAGCAGTTTCCTTGGCTTGCTTGGTTAGCTCAAATTGATCAGCCCAGGCTAGAAGGCCAGAGGCTAACAGGTGAAGGCCAGTGTTCAAGAAAGTTGACAAATTTTTACCAAATTTAGGTGGTACCCAAGTTAGATACAACTTGTGTGACATAGAGAAGATGGACTGTAGTGCGTGAAAGTTTGTAATAACTCCTTTAGCAAGTTAGCAAGGAAAGCCTTCATAAAGAAGAGAAGGTGTCAAATCCAGTTTAATAAAACTGGCAAGTGGAAGCTCAGCTAAAACTTTAAGAATAGCATCTCTGAGAAATCACTTGGTTGAGCAAATGTGCACCGTTTAACCAACAGTTTTGCCTTGTCTCTTGTAGATATAAAAACTTTATAAACTATATATTTTAATACTTTTTTAAAATCTGTTTTTCTAAGTTCTTAACAGCTGATTTTTTTCCCAAAAGATATGTGGTCCTCTCATGACAAATTTTATACAATCTGATGCATTTACTGTAAATTAAAGAAAGTATGAAATGTTTAAGCTCAGTCCTAAACATGTTGAGGAGAAATGTTAATCCATGGGGAACATTTTTATGCAAAATAATATTTTTATTTTTGATAATTTATGTACAATTTGCCAGTAATGAAGTGTTATGTGTAGTGAAGTGTTTCCTTGCTTCTTTTGCTAAAGGAATGGTTCTAAAACAAATCCTGCACCTACTGTCATTGTCCACTAATGATAAATCATTTTGGGTAATATAGTAGATATTTATTTAACTATACAAGTAGGAAAATTTTATAGTTCTTCAGATAGGAAGGCGTGCAGAAAGGCAAAGGCATCCATGTAGAGTGAAGCTGAAGCATGTTATAGGAGGCCGTCAGCAGACAGGCAGCACAAAACAGTGTTTTGTGCACCTACTCCCCATTTCCTAGCAAAATATTAAGAAATGACTGGTGACTCAAGACTTTTGTACAATACTGTATTTAGGTTTGAGAGATTCACCAAAGGTTAAATGTAGAGAACCTACAACTGTGTGTTTGGTTGAAAAACAACAGAAAACTAATGTTAGAAATATCAGAAATGACTTTTATATACATCACCCAAAGCCTCTATAATCATAAATGGTAAATGTTCACGTTATTTTAAGTTGACAAGGGGTACCCGTCAGGGCTCTCCAATAAGTCCATTGTTATTCGCCCTGGCCATAGAGCCCCTCTCTATTACACTCAAAACCTTGCCATCAATTGCGGGTATCCATAGGATGGATAAAGAGCATAGAGTGTCCCTTTATGCAGATGATCTGTTAATGTATGTATCTGATCCTGTTTCATCTGTCCCCGATATTATTCACACCTTAAGCAGCTTTGGCTCCTTCTCTGGGTACAAACTGAACTTCAGTAAAAGCGAATGTTATCCTGTTAACGATCTGGCTCTTCAAATACAGAATAGTGCTGCACCTTTCAAAACAGCCAAAAATGGATTCAAATACCTAGGCATAAATATAACAAGAGATCTGCATAATCTCTATGAAAAAAATTTCTGTCCGTTATTTGAAAAGGTCAAATCAGACTTAAAGAAATGGAAGCCACTTCATTTGTCGTTGGCAGGGAAGGTAAATTGTATAAAAATGAATATACTCCCAAAGTTTCTTTATCTTTTTCAGTGTATCCCACTTTACCTTCCAAAATCATTTTTTAAATCTATTGATAAAGCTCTGATCTCTTACCATATACATACCATTATACATACCATAATAGACCCATTTCTGTAATATACTTACATATCTATATTATTGTTAATATATATTGTAATATATCTATATCAGTAAAGCACTTTTGGATGGATGCAAACTGCATTTCGTTGCCCTGTACCTGTGCATGTGCAATGACAATAAAGTTGAATTCTATTCTATTCTATCTCATTTATATGGGATGGGGAAAAACCAAGAATATGTCTGGATCAGTTACAGAGGCCTAAAGACCTAGGCAGCTTAGGACTTCCAAATTTCCGCCATTACTATTGGTCCTCAAATGTTAAAAAAAAAATCATATACTGGCTCAATACCCCTGATGAAGACTGGTGCCAAATTGAAGCGGCATCTTGCATCGCCACCTCTCTTAGAGCCTTGGTCACCTCGAGCCTTCCAATCTCCTCACAGGAGCACACCACCAGTCTTATAGTTATTAACACCCTCAGAATATGGGCTCAATTTCGAAAGAACTTTGGGTTTGAAAATCTTCTTCATTTAACCCCTATACACAATAATCACCTTTTCCTTCCCGCCAGATTAGACTCTGAATTTGCTCTTTGACAGAGACGAGGCCTCCATAAGTTTTCTGACATGTATATAGGCTTTGTATGAAGGCTTTCAGGAGCAAAGTGAAGGAGGAGATGAAAGCAGCACAGAGGGCGGTGAAACGCTGCCTGAGGGACGCAAAGGACACCTACAGGAGGAAGGTGGAGCAGAAGTTGGAGAGGAACAATATGAGGGAGGTCTGGAATAGTGTGAAAATCATCACAGGCCACAACACCAAGAAAAGCACAGTGGGGGGGACTGTGGAGAAGGCAAACGAACTCAACAACTTCTTCATCAGATTTGACCAGCCCACAACCCCCCACCCTCACTACAGAGTCCTCTCCCCACTCTCCTACCTCCCTCGCTTCCCCCCCTTCCTGACACCATGACACCCCCCTCCTCCAATCCCTCTCTCAGCAGCAAGACATCTCCCCCCCTCCCCTCCTCCCAAACATCTCCCAGTGTCACAGTGGATCAGGTCAGGAGACAACTGAGGAAGCTTCGCCCCAGAAAGGCAGCAGGCCCAGACAAGGTGTGTCCTAGGATGCTAAAGGCGTGTGCTGCTGAACTTGGGGAGCCGCTACAACGAGTCTTCAATCTCAGTCTGCGACTGGGGAGAGTGCCCGCCCTATGGAAGACATCCTGCATCGTCCCGGTCCCCAAAAGGAACCGGCCCAATGAGCTGAATGACTTCCGACCGGTGGCACTGACGTCACATCTTATGAAGACTCTAGAGCGGCTCTTCCTCAACCTCCTCCGACCACAGGTACAACATGCCCAGGACCCACTACAGTTTGCATACAAGGCGGGTGTCGGAGTGGAGGATGCCATCCTGTACCTCCTACACAGAGCCCACTCACACCTGGATGGGGGAAAAGGCACGGTCAGGATCCTGTTTCTTGACTTTTCCAGTGCCTTTAATACCATCCGGCCCTGTATGCTTCAGGAAAAACTGAACAGGATGGAGGTGGACCCCTGCCTGGTGGCTTGGATCTCCGACTACCTCACCGACAGACCACAGTACGTCAGGCTGAAGGACATCACGTCTGACACAGTGGTCAGCAGCACAGGAGCACCACAGGGAACTGTGCTGTCCCCTCTTCTCTTCACCCTGTACACCTCTGACTTCTGCTACAACTCTGAATTATGCCACATTCAGAAGTTTGCAGACGACACAGCCATCATGGGGTGTATCTGGGATGATCAGGAAGAGGAGTACAGAAGTCTGGTGAGGAACTTTGTCGCATGGAGTCACACAAACCACCTGCAACTCAACACCTCAAAGACTAAGGAACTGGTTGTGGACTTCGGGAGGTCCAGAGAAGGTCCACTGCCAGTTCAGATAGAGGGGGAGGAGGTGGAGGTGGTCAACAAGTACAAGTACCTCGGGCTGTGGGTGGACAATAAACTGGACTGGTCATGCAACACAGAGCACCTGTATAAAAAAGGCCAAAGCCGACTGTACTTCCTCAGGAGGCTGAGGTCTTTTAACATCTGCAGGAAGCTCCTGAGGATGTTTTACCAGTCAGTGGTTGCTGGAGTACTTTTCTATGCTGTGGTGTGCTGGGGGAGCAGCACAGCAAAGAAGGACTCATCCAGGCTGGAGAAACTGATCAGGAAGGCTGGCTCTGTGGTCGGCATGAAGCTGGACACTCTGGTGACAGTGGCAGAGAAAAGGACACTAAAGAAACTGCTGGACATTATGAACAATGCTGGGCATCCTCTGCACACGGTCGTAAACAATCAGAGGAGCCTATTCAGCGACAGGCTGCTTCTCCCAAAGTCAAAAACCAACAGACTTAAAAACTCCTTTGTCCCACACGCCATCAGACTGTTTAACTCCTCACTGGAGGGGAGAGGGAGGAGAAACAGGGGGACAAGGGAGGGCGGGAACAACTGAGCTGTAGGTGCTTTTCTACACTGTGCAATATTTGCAATATTTGTTTTTTGTTTTGTCTTTTTTCTTATATTTGACTGTGCAATAATCACTGTGCAATATACTCACTCAAATGAGCAATCCTATTTATCCATATTGTATATTCTGTATCTATATATGTGTATATGTGTATATATGGTGTATTTATGCTTATATCCTTACTCTCATTCCCCTTAATGTATCTGTAACATGCAACTTCTTTCGGTGCTTTGCTACTGGAAACTGAATTTCCCGGAGGAACCCACCCGAGGGATTAATAAAGTTTCATCTAATCTAATCTAATATAGACGGTGTCTTGGCAAGTTTTCAGGATTTATCACACAAATTTGACCTCCCTCGGCCCAGCTTATTTAGATACTTCCAAGTTCGTCACTTCCTTCAGCATCACAACCCTGACTTTCCAAATATAACTCCACTTACTGCTGTAGATGATCTGTTGAAACTGACATTTAAGCCTAAAGGTCTAATCTGAAGAATTAGTAATTGTATAGCCTCCTTTCAGAATATAACAATGGCAAAGATCAAAGCAGACTGGGAGAATGAGCTGGGGGTGGTTTTGGAGGAGGAGACCTGGGAGAGCGCTCTTTTAAGAGTAAACAACAGCACTTTCTGTGCCAAATTAAACATCATACAGTTCAGGATTCTACACCGCATTCATTACTCCAAGGCAAGACTGGCCAAAATATTTCCAAACATAGATGCAAGCTGTGAGAGATGTAGAAATCCCTCTGCAGATTTAACACATATGTTTTGGTCATGTCCAACTTTAAAAGCCTACTGGTCAACAATTTTCAAAACATTGTCCGAAGCATTGAATGTTGAGCTTCAACCCAATGCAGCTATGGGTATATTTGGTGTCAGAGAGAGGACATAGAACATTAAGGAAGAGTCATAAAAACATAATCACTTTCACTACACTGCTTGCACGCAGAAGGATACTTTTGCATTGGAAGTCAAAAAAGCCACCCAAAGCGGCTTTGTGGTTTAGTGACCTGACACAATTTATACAGTTGGAAAAGATAAAGTACGCTCTCAAGGGGTCGAAGGAGAGATTCTTTGCTGTTTGGGATACATTGCTAAAACATTTAGAGTAAATTAAAACCATATCCACCTGAAAGATGCTTGACAGCTGCCGTAAATCCTTTTTTTTTTTTTCTGTGTGATTGGGATTCATTTTGTGTAAACTATTCCCCTTTAAGGGCACATCTTCAAAAATGGTGAACTTCCTTGTACCTCATTTAAATTCACTTTATTCATTTATTTATTTTAATTTCTTTCTCCTTCTGGATCAGTGTCCAATATGTTCTTGGGGTGGAGTATATATATAAAGGAGCATTGTGGCCTTGCTATATCTATGTCTTTGTACTACATTGTTGATGCTCAATAAAAACAAAAAAAGAAATATCAGAAATGATATATACACTACACTACACTAGAAGAAGTTATTGCACTTGGTATAAAAGATTGCAACATTTTATTTCAGAGGTGAATGGTCTTAGTGTAGTATTTAAAATTACTTTTCAAACTCTGGATCTTTCCAGATTTTTACTGAATTACTGCTGCTTTAATTTGAGCTGCTTAATTTGAGCACATAATATTTTTTTTTTATTACATTATATTTATGTTTCAAAAGGACTCACCTTTGAAAGCACTAATATCTCCGTAATGAATCTGCAGTACAAAGTAGGACATTCCTGAACTTCTTCCAACTTTAAAGCCAACATCTGATAAAATACAGAGAATAGTGGTTAACAGTGGACATAAGACCTCATGAATATAAACAGTAAAAGAAGAAGAGGGAAAAAAATGAGTAGCATACACTACATAACAATATTATACATAAAACCTACAGATTCTTCTTTTAACATAAATGTCAAAAATAAAACTCCACCCCCTTTCACTGCAGCAGTTCAATACAGAAAAAGTCATAGACATACCTTTGGGTAATTTGGTAGGTGGTGCATTTCGAGCCCAGGCATACATAATTGCTGCTTCATCCTCACAAGTGCCTTGCACACTGCCACAGTCCCTTAATGAATTACCACAAAACAGTGAATCCCAAAGGCAGTTACAGAACAAAACAAACAACTATCTCCAGTTTAGCCATTTGCTGTGGAGCAAGCATATAGAGGCATTTACATAATGAAAGACAAACGCACAAGCAAATAATATTACAAATATTACAATACGAGAATATTTGTCATTAAGAACTCAATAGTAAGACTAAGTCAAGGACAGGTTGACCATTTGTCATTGAGCAATTCTACGGCCAAATTACAGTTGTATAGCATCAAATCAAAAGAACCATGTTGCATCAGCTACACCCTTTCGGGTCGCCACAGTGAATGACCAGGCTCCATCTCATCATGGCATATGTCTAGCATCCCCCTCCCACACCAACCTTCTACATATCCTCCTTCAGTACATCCATTCAACACTTCTCTGTGTTCTTCTGCTTTTTCTTCTGCTTATCAAATTCATATTCATGCAACATATTCAAGAATTTTTGTCCAGTATATCCACCATCTCTTTACTGCACACTTCAAAAATAACTAAGCTTTGCCTCTCTCTCATTGGATCTTGCAGCATCTGCTTGCAGTCAGCATACATTATGTATTCAGTGTAGCTATAAGGTAAATTTACAGTGACATTAAGAAAGACATAACCTAATAGAAAATTGTCCAATAGAATTTGTATGTTTTTTAGTTTGTGAATACATGTTGCTTTTCATATGTACCTTAAGCAAAAACAGCAGTCAAAACCACTGCTAAGCATTTTCACTTTGAAGTCATAGACGGTATATAACTACCAGGATGAAACTACATTGTCAGAATTAGTAACAAGGTTTAGTTTAGTTATTTGAAAAAATATTCAAGCCAAGGACTCAATTGATCTACAGTTCATTTTATTAGAGCACCTGTCATAAAGATAGGAAAATGTTATCAATCTGTCAAAAACTTACTTAAAATAAAAACATTAATTTCTTAGTTTTTTAAGGCAAAGTCTTGACACAGAGTGAAGTCTAGTTTTTATACCCAAATTTGAGCCAGCACACAGGATTTCTCTGAGAATAACTATAATTTGGCATCATATGCTTTACTACTTTTTCCTTGCTATTTTTGGAAATAGTAACATTTAAAAATTCATGGATAACAAGAATAATTACAGTTTAACACTAAAAACATAATTTATCTTAAAAATCCTGTGCACACAGGTTCTTAATAGATGCACCTAGGGTATAAATTTTTTTAAAAAAGTGTGCATATGAGACAAATATGTAAGAGAGCTTTCTTCCATTTGTACAACATCTCAAAAATGAGAAATCTCACATTAATGCTGAAAAACCTAATCACTGCTAAAGGGTTTCTCACAGTAATGTTTACAATTCTGTGGAAACGGGGAAGCCTGAACCTGAGAATTTACAATTATTTAAGAAGAATACTCATTTTTTATTGATTGTAACATTTGAACATTGTTGGAGTCACCTTCTTGGTGAACAGCAATGAAATACAATAATGAAAACAACTGACATGGTACCTTGAACATCTAACATGCTAACTGGGAGTTATACCTGAGACAGTAAAAAAAATACTTTTGTGTGCAGAGAGAGAAAGTTTTTGTGCTTGAGAGACCTCTTGGACTGACAACCTGAATAGAGCTTAAGTGGGGCCTCTTAGGTGGAAACATATCAGGTAAAATAGCGTATCCCTGCCAGTGGAGCCCCTTTAGGGACTGAGGCTTCCTCATTCTGAGGGTCGGGTGCCTCTAGGTGCCCAAAGGGGGACACAGAGACCACTCCCTTGCTGGTGGTGCATATACAGCTAGAAGGGGTACTACTCTCGTGCCAATGGGCAGAGAAATGGCAGGCCTGTGAGAGCTAGGTGCAAGTTTGGGATTCATATTACATTTGAAGATGATGCTTGCTTAAGTCATTTTTTTATGCTGCATTTACATTTCCACAGTCAGTGGTTGTGGGTAACTAAAATAAAAAGCTATTATTGGTGCACTAAACAAAACTAGATTTGATCTGTGCTGATGTTCACAGCTAGCCATTATTTTAATAATGGTTAAGTATTTAAATAAGAATATAGTCTAAGATTACAGTTTTTTCCATTACAACTGTTGCTGGGTTTCAAAAATGGTGGTTTTGATTTTTCATGAATAAGATGCTCTCGTGACTCATTAAGTGGCGACACTGACCAGCCAATTGGTGGCATGCAGTCTGACGACGTCACATTTTAGTACCTGCTCTGATCACTTTAAAAACCCAGCTGAGCAGATAGTATTTCAGTACCTGGTACTATGACCTAATAGAAACCCCTGAAAAGCATGGAGAACTGTGGCAAATCTATTCGAGTAGGTAATAATAAAAAAAGAGGCTTAACTTGCACTTCTTACGCAAGGTCCTTTTTTTTGTTCCTGGATCCTGGCTTTTTTCCTAACAACAAAAACACTAACAAAATTAATTTAAAGTTGGGCATTACCAAAAGCTGTTGGTGGACACAGGGGTCTGACAGCCAAACAGCAGCATGTGATGGACTGTATCCATACTGGCAAGAGGTATGAAGTCCACTGAAGAGAAAAACACTGGTTAAAAATTTCAACTTCAAATTGACAGTGAAGTTCACACATAACAAATCGCCTTATCGACTAACAGCCTGATTCTTTGAAAATACATCAGACTGGTCAATTGGAGAAAGATCATCACCACCCTCTAATTAATTTAAAGCTAGCAATGACTTAGTTCCCTGAAAAATGTTTCAAAATATGAAATTTTATCAATTTTTTTTAGTGAAATTAATAAAATATTATATTGTGAAAAGAAATTTACACAGGAGATATACAAAAGGTAATCATGGTGACACCATGTGATAGCAATGATGCCTTTAAAATTTCCATTTCAACTGTTGATATAAATTGAACTTGTCATTATTACTTTGTATCCAGCTTATAGGTCAGCTAGAAACATTTTTTTCTGTAATTGCCAATCACTGTAGGTTTTATAATATATAATAAATTAATAAAAGATAAAACTCACCAATATATGCATCTTGCCTAGTTGGAACTGGAAATGCCATGCAAAGGTAAGTGTCCGACTGAAATATTAAGGAAAACAATGACATCAATGAGTCCTAAATGGAGAAAACAAATAAACAAACACGTACACACACACTAGTTAATACCCCTTGGCTTCAGCAGATCCCAGGAGGGATATCCAAGATTTCCGTCCAGGAAAGCGCAGTCTTAGAGCCTCTACTAGACAGGACCCTGACTAGTATCTAGGACTGCATTCTGGGGTCTGCTGAAGCCACTCACCTAGTTTGGGGGTCACTGCCCCACAGAGGTCACTGTGCTCATGGGGACCAATGTTGTTTTAACACTCCACATCTCTCGAACTTCTTGTGTTACTTCTTCTTGATGTTGCTATTAGAGCTGGGCGATATATCGAGTTTTTAAAAAATATCGATATATTTTTATACGAGATATAAGGTGTGACAATATCCTTTATATCGATATAGTCTATGTTACGTTATAATTATACTTGTGGAGCCGCAAGTTTGCCTCTCTTACTCTCATGTATATATCTCATGTATATCTCATGCACATATCTTTCCACGTAGC